GTATAAATCACCTGCTTGAACGTGCTTACTCCAGCAGTAAGCACCTCTAGGGGGTATTGAACCACAACAACTGTAGCAGTACAATTTATGTTACTGTAACTTGTAATTCTTGGGTAATGTGTTTGCACTGCTAATGTTTGAACACATTATTATTATTATTATTATTATTATTATTATTATTATTATTATTATTATTATTATTATCATTATTATTATTATCATTATTATTTATTATTATTGTTGTTGTTGTTGTTGTTGTTGTTGTTGTTATTGTTATTATCATCATCATTATTAAAGGCATGGCTGGAAAGAACTCCGGGACTCGATGCAGAAGGATTTGATTTCTGGGGACAATTTGAAGTGAATGTTTTAAAAGGTCTAGAAGAGGAATTTGCCTTGGTGCAGGTATGTAGTGTACTCTTGATCAAGCTATAAGCAAAAACAGCTGGCAAAATCACATCCTGACATAAATTGTACTTTTGGCCCACTCACTTAATCTTCAGCAGCCTCTGTCTGCAAGAAGCAGAAAAAATCGCATATTTTTCATAAAACCTGGATAAATTTGTAATTTGACATCTAAAACGGTTTAAAGCATGGGATCCAAAAAGAAAGTGATAGTGTCAGTGGGAGGGTTGAAATTGATTTTACTGACACTACAGCTTTTGCTTTGGTTAGAATTTGCATCTACAGTTCAGAGTAAACACAAAATTTAGGCCCCTGAGCTGTGAGTATGGAGAACCACTGTAAACAGCCCATTTCTGTTTAACAGTATGTGGCAATTTGCTGCTAAGTGATCATTTGAATTACACTGGCAAATAAACTCAAGCAAATCCCCAAATATTGTAAGACCTGTAGCTTTAAGTACATTTTAGTGGAAAAAACACAATAACATAAGAATTGATCAGTTTCCTCGGAATATCTGTTTACAACTTTCTATCTATGCCTTCTTATTTATAATTTTCTTACCCATAGCTGTGCAAAGATCTTCTTTTTGCCTTGAAAAAAAATATAAAAGTAATCAGACTTCAAACAAATGAAGATTAAGTGGTTTTTAGGGCCTCTAGACCAAAAGAAAAGTGATAAGCTCACAGTTTGTTTGAACATTCATTCATCTGAATTGTGTTGACAGCTATTTAATTGCACATTTTGCAGTAATTGTGGTCTTTAAAGGATAGTGACTCAGTGACTCATCTGTTTTACTTGAAAAAACAGTTCTTACATTTAAGATATAAACTTACAGAGTATTTATGATGAAAATAGAGATTACATCATTGGTCATTTGAGTGCTTAATTTTCCCTATTGAATTTTAAAACCTGTTTTTGTTTTAAATACCAAAGGGCAAACCAGAATCAGAAGAAAAAGATGACTTATTATCTGAATTCCAAAAACAGAAAGATGTATTACTTTCGTTATTTGATGAAAAACGCCACGAACACCTGCTTAGTAAAGGTAGATTGTATTAATCCATGTCAATATGCACTTCTTATTCTTTATATATGACATATATAATCACATAATAACATCAAATTTGCGGGAGAATCAGTAACAAGCTAAGGACACTTGTATTTTGCAGGAGAAAGACGATTGTCTTATAAAGCACTGAAGGGTGCCTTAATGATCTACTTCTACAGGTAATACGAGAAAATACATCTTTACTGCTTACTGACAGGAGGAGAGGTGAAGGTTAGGGACAGCAGCCCAGGTTTATTTCAGTTGGAAGGGGCCTTGGAAAATAATGTGGTCCAACCCTCCGCAAAACCCCGGGTTAGTTATTTCCAACTTGAAGGTCAGATCGGGCTGCTCGGGGCTGTGTCCAGTGGAGTTTTGAATGTCTTCAAGGGTGGAGGTTACGCGGCCTCTCAGGGCAGCCAGTTGGTGTTGGACCAGCTGGTTCTCCTCGGGCTGAAACTAGCAAATGCCTTGTTCGACCTGTTCTACAAAGTGTCCTAGAAAGATTAGAGAATTTTTCCAAGTGTGTGGGAAAAGGCACAGATCGAGACCTGCATGTCAGAAGCATTTGTTAGGAGATCTACTGACATTTCAATAGCAATTTAGGAAAAAATATGCACTAAGTCACTCTTATGCATTGGTGAAGCGCTACTTTGAAAAATACAGCATATCATAAGAAGTCTCACTATCTTCTCTTTCATTTTCCAAGGGAGGAGCCTCGTTTTCAGGTTCCCTTCCAGCTTCTTACCTCCCTTATGGATATTGATGTGCTCATGACCAAATGGAGATGTGAGTTGCACTTTTTCACTGTGACACTCCCTCTCTGAGATGCAAGTAAATTGTTCTGTTTCACCCTCTTTTAGGCAAGTTATACCCAGAGTTTTAGAACCGAGCTTCTCCGTTCATCCTTTAGAAGTTACATTTTTTCTGTTTGTTTGTTTGTAGTTTGGCCAAGAGCAAAGATGAACAGCTTCTTCTGTGATCATTAGATACATAGGTATTGCTATCACTTCTATGACACGCTTTAAATTAGGTGAACAATTTTAAGGCGCAGGTATATGTTTTCCAGTGTCTCCCAAACTGTCATCATGATGTCTCTTCATATGCAAACATTCCTTCTGCTCCTTCCCTAACTGACTGTATTAATGCTGTATTGGCAGAGCATAATAGTGTATAAAAATTAGTGTTTTCATTCTGTATTAACAATAATTTTATACTAGTTGACTGTAGAGTGGCATGATTAACTCCTGCACTGCTGCAGACCTAGTAGTTCTGTGTCTCCACAAAGATCTCTGTATGTTCTCTAATATTTTGGTGACGCACCTTGATGTGACCCTTTGTTTATATGTTAACACTGAACATATGCCCTGTCCTTCTTTTGTATTGCTTAGATAACCACGTCTGCATGGTGCACAGAATGATTGGCAGCAAGGCTGGCACCGGAGGCTCATCAGGCTACCAATATTTGCGCTCCACAGTGAGGCAAGAATAATGTGTTTTCCCTCACTACCTGCAATAATGCAGTCTGTAGATACCCTAATGCCAGGAGACAGATTTCAGACAGCTCATCGGAGGCCAGAGGGCTGCTGTTTCTCTTTTGGGACTCTAGCATTTCCCCCTGGCTGTCGTACATTTACTTACCAGGTTGACATATAGAAAATCCAAGCCTTTGGGGGCAAAAAGAAGTCCTTTTGACTGCTCATGCAAAGTGCCATGTAAAAATTCTCAGTCGAGGGATCTAGCTAGGCATTACTAAAAGAGCAATAATATTAATTCTGCATTGTTTAGTTTGTGAGCAAGCTAGCCCAAGTTAATGAGGGAATACAGGCTGGAACCGAGTCCCAGCAACTGTGCAGCTGATGACGGTTTCTTTATTCCTTAGCATGACCTCTAATCATACAACCTAAGGTACTGCAATTTAGGATTGAATATATTCTCACAGCTGATAGTAACTAATGCTCTCAAGCTGTGCAGGCAACAATCATAAACGTGTTTCCTTCTGTTGGATAAAGCAGAAAAAGTACTTAATTAAAAGGGATGGTTGGGGCCTAAGCACAGAACTCTCTGAGTGGGTAGAACATTTTTTTACACAAAATTTGAGGATTCAGCTAGTTAGACAATTCAGGCCGCCTAGCTGCAACTATGTCCTGACAGTCTTGAACAACATGATGTCAAAAAGTACAAGGATATTTAGAACATCTTCTTCTAAGAGGACCTCTTTTGATGTTTGCTTTCAAATAGAAACCATATGTAGCTGGGGCCAGCCATGTGCAGCTGTGGGCAACGATTCCCATCACAAACTTTGTAACAGAGTGGGGAATAGGAAGCAGACAAACTGAATTCAAAGATTAAAGGTCCACTCTCTTTACCAGCAAGACTTCTCACTCTTCCTTAACTTCCAGTTAACGTTCTTCCAAGATAAATTCTATTTCATGTCTACAAAAGTGGAGGTCTGGAGATTACAGCCCACATACTCGGCCTTTTCAGAAGAAAGATGTGACTATAGCAACCGTATTTAATTTTTAAGCCTGTTCTGCTATGCCCTAGAAACAGTTAGGATGGATTCTTACTCTGGAATATTCGGGAGGAGGGTTAGTGAAGAAACCTTATTAAATAAATGAGATGGAACGATTCCTGAGATTTTGAAATGACAGCCTTCCGGGACAATGCCAGTGTTAATTGTTCTGATTGTCTTTTTCAGTGACAGATACAAGGTGTTTGTGGATTTGTTCAATCTTTCAACGTTTCTAGTGCCGAGACACTGGATACCAAAGATGAACCCAACCATTCATAAATTCCTTTACACGGCAGAATACTGCGACAGCTCGTATTTTAGCAGCGATGACTCTGACTAGCCTGCCTTTCCAAACTGGTTGCTGTAAAGAACTTCAGGACCTTAAACCCAAGTGCTGCTCGCCCTCAAATGTAACAGCTATTCTCACGGAGTGTGGGTGTGTAAATATGTATTTATGTATGACAGCTATGTGAATAGTACGATCAGCTTGTAGAAGAAACTTCTTTGTAGAAAAAAAAATAATCTGTATTGGGTTATCTTACATTAAGACTAAAATGATACCCCAATTCAACTCTTACTTGGCTTCTTAAAACCTATACCTAGAGAGAGAAGGAGCAAATTATACAGAATTATCATAATCCTGTCTGATTTGTACATATTTTTGTATTGGTTAGTTTGCCTAATGGCTGTTCTTAATTTACTTCGAGTTGAGGACATAATTAGTCTCATCACCTTCAAAAGAGTATTTGTTTCTGAGCTCTAATGGAATTTCAGAAGGAATTTTGGGTTAAAAGTTTCAAGAGATAGATATAAAAAACCCTAAGTCCTGAATCTATAGAAACCCAAGCATCTTGAACTTTTACGTGTATCAAGAATCATGTTGCTGTGTGTTGCATGTGAATGTAAATCCCTTAACTTACTGTTAAAAATAGCAGATATAAGTAAGTACTTCCTTTGCACTTCTAATAAAGCAGTATTAAAGCTCACCTTTTGTTAAGTCTTCTAAAGCAAGCATAAAGTCCAAACAGCATGGCAGGCATTTAAAGTGGTTTTTATTTGAAATATAATTGAAATAAGGATAAAATTGATATATAATAAAAGCAAGGCAAACTTGGCTATGGCATATTGATAAAGCTGTGTCATCTTCTCATTAGATGGACTCTCCTCGTCTTTTTAAATGCTTCCCTTGGAAATACACATACGCTGTCGGCCTTAATTTCTGGTGAGTTGCTCTGTATCTTAGTGCTTTAGGTACTTATGGCTGGTGGTAGCACCACCTCAAAACCACTGTTGGAATATCTGTGTTTGATACTACTGTAACAACACAGCTCTTATCAATGCCAATTAGGAACTTTGGCTGTTGTTTCCTAGTTATGGAAGTGTGCCATTTGTTGTCTGTAAACTGCTAAGGGAAGGCCATAGTACAGAAGACTAAGACTACAGAAGGCTTCCCCTTTTGTTAATCTAAAGTTTTCAGCTAGTAAATTCAGTAAGTACCAGAACCTGTAGTAGTGAAACATCACACTTAGTCTTCCATTTAAAATATTAACACTCAGAAGGACTAAAATGGCAATACTTACAATAAACAATTATGAACACTCATTGCATTTGTCATAAAAAGGTTATAATACACTGATCTATTAACATGGTACAGTAATTGAGTGCAAAAATTACAGAGTTGCTTCAATACTTTTTCATAGTAGTGCTTCATAAAAGACACAGGTAAAGCATTCGAGGCGAAAGATTCGGAGCATCTTAGAATCACGTGTTCGGGTGTGAATTCGAGTTACATTTACCTCCAGCCGCAGTTTTACAGGTCAGCAAAGCTGGAGCCCCTTTTTGATTCCCAGCAAGTCCCACCTATGAATTCAATTAACATAGGGAAATTTAACACCCACTCTATTTGGAGTATTCCCTAACTGCTGATTTTCTAAAGGCTGCAAGTATATATTAACAAAACGCACCCTCACAATTTTTTCCGTAATAAATAAGTTTTTAATTTCTGTTTCGCAACTGGCTTCGCTGTTAGTCATGAGGTAGAGAAGGCATGGAACTGACACAGCTCTCAACGCACGGAAAGGCTGATTTGCAAACACATATATCCTGCCAGGACACAGGATGTTAAACCACTAGAACTGCCTCTGTCTGTCTAAATACAGTTACTTCTTCCTTTTCCATCCCCCTAACAAATGAATGCAGAACTCTGTGATCTACCAGGCACTTTACAAAACACGTTCCCTGCTCTGAAAACCTCTGAAGTTGTATTTGCCCAATAAAGGTCTGAAGACTGAAACTAAAGGACTGCAGCACTTCAGAGACATGGGGTGCTCAGGAAACAACTCTGACTATCCATTTCCCTCCTCTATTCTTCTAACTTCAGGAAAAAAAAAGTAGGTTTTCACAAAAAGGAGGAAGACAAAATGTGTCTGTCTGTCAGAGGTGCTAGAAAAGCCAAGACAAGTATCAAAGAAAAACAGAGAATTTTCTTCCAACTGCCCTTCCTCCCTACCTAATAAAAGCAGACCTAATCATGGTTCTTCTTATCTTCAAAGCATTTCAATTTTACTCTGTCATACTATTGATTATTTGATCCAAATTCCTTGTCGTTTGTCATCACTTCTTTGTAAGATTTCTTTGTGGAGTAGTAGTCAACACCTGGATAGAGCTCACACTCGCAGTTTCAGTCCATCTTTGTAACTTCTTTTTCAGGTTCTCTGCAGTTGATTCTGAGTCTTCTTATTCCATGACAGATTGGATGCATAACACACATTCCAAATAAAAACATTTTTAAAAACTCCAGCCAACCCATTCCTGTACTGCCTAAAAGCAGGAATTGCCCTTACAGCAACTTCTTATTTTAGAAGATGTTGTTTTGAAGTAAATCTTCATATACACTGTGTGTCCAAATGATACTTGTGGTCTTTGGCCGGTCAGTGTCAAACGAATACTGATGAAACTGTATCTGCTATACCTACAAATGAAACAACAACAACAACAAAATTGTTAATAAATATTAGAAATGGAGACTTGCCAGAAAATAAGTTCCCAAAATACTTATTCATATAATGCCCTCTCTCTTCCACACCATGACTATGTGAACTGCTGGGGGGGGCGAGGAGGCAGGGAATCATCTGCAACCCTTTTGTTTCTTCCTTGCCTCACACTGTTTATAGTGGAGATCTACTCTCTTCCTTCCTCTGCTTTCATGTTCAAAACTTTAGACCCTGTCAGAGGATTCAGCATTGGTCCCATCTGGGTGCTGAAAAGCAATCTGAATCCCAATATCCTCTTCCCTTTTAATCATATGCATTAGCAATGTACAGACAATATGAAGCTGTGCAGCTTAGTAAGCTCACCAATAGACTAGAGAGCACAAATTCATTGCAAGACACATTTCTGAACACTCATACACATACAAACACAGAACAAACTAGGCTTTTATTCGTGCTCAGTTCATTTTGTATTGTATTCCTTTCAGCACTAACAGCCAAATGTGACTACAGCCTGTGAAGGTATCAAAGGGTGATGGCTCTGACACCACTTTTGAGGGAGTAAGGGTCCCTCTAAATGAGAAGACAACATCTGTGGGGGAAGGAAAGCAACTACTGGCCTTTGCTGGATTGTTCTTGTGGGGCATGACAGAAAAAATGTGAAAGATCCCGCTTTTTGAGAGAATGGACTTTGAAAAGACACACCTGTTCTTCCCGATCACCTCTACAACTGACTTACTTTAATTATCACTACTTCTAAATTTCTCTTTCCAAATAGTTCATTTATAGAACAACAAAAGTTGCAGCAACATGGAAAAGCTACGATTGGATACAATGTTCCGATCTTTACTGACTGCAAGCAAACTGATTATTATCTGTTCTTATTTGCAGATGATTTACATCATCTAACGCCTTTTCCAATGACTGAGAGCTACTGTAAAGCACACATGGAAGGGAAAGCCAACAGAAGGCCTCCAGTGTTAATCTAACAGACAAAAATTCAACGGACATACAGCACTTACTATCTAGGAGTCCAATCCCAGCAATTCGGCTCAGCAATCTTTGCTGATAAACAGGAGCTTCCCCTGCTGTACCTCCACATCCAGCAACTCAGAAGAAACTGGGTATTTAACATTACAAAAAAACCGCCACAAACACCAAGGAAAATCTCATGCAAATGGTTAAGAGGCCAGCAGATGGAAGTGGCACTGAAAGTACAGGCCTCTATTGTACAAGAAAAGCCACAAGCAGGTTACACAATTCCCAAGCAGAGGCAGATCCACTTTCCATATTTGTTTGCTAAACTGAGCACAGAGATAATCGCATCCACCAGACAAGGACAGCAGCTGTTTTACCTACAGTAAGTACCACAAGGGCACTAACCTAGAACCATGATACATGACTATATACTTTACGATACCATTACCTCTACATGGTAAGGTACAACAATGTTTTATTTGTTATGCCTTATATAGCTCTACCTTTGCATGGTATTTTTCAATCATTCAACTATATGACTTGGTTGAACTAGCAACTGCTTTATTTATTTTTCTACCTGGACTCATCTAACCTCTTTTAAAACATAGCAATGATTTGTGTTTCCTCTCTGAGGATCCCATTATATCACTTTACTTACATGGAGAAATGTATCCCAGCATGTGGCCTTTAGAACTTCAATTATTTTTTGTCAGACTTACCACAGACGTTGCCACCTATCTTCACACGAACATAGCCATCTACTCCCCAAGTAGGCCCCCAAGAGTTCTGCACGATCCAGTATGGGATACTACCTGGAAGAGAAATTTTCACAAACAGACAACAACATGAGACTTGGAAAGCCTAAAAAACTTCTAACACTCTATAGAGCTAGTTACCATTTTATTATCTCATAGTTTCGGATGGTTTGGTGATACAGAACAGTGAAACCTACTCACATAGAGGACAGAACTAATATCCCAGTGTTGAACAGACTAGATCTATCCTCTGCTAGCACAAAGACACAGATAGTCTTACTCTTCACTTTACAAGGAGATGAAGTCCCACAGAACCAAAGGAGCACAGACAAGAAGTGTTTTTCTCCTGGGATCAGGCTGCACTCCCAGAACTGACGAGACACCCAACCAAACAGCTCTCAACAGAACACCCAGATCTGGATTTCAATCACTTGCCCCACAGGAGTCAAGTTGAAAGTAAGAGAAAAAACCCCAAACCTACTGGGCTGAAGTTCAGTTGATGGAAACGCACCTGTTCTGTCAAAACCAGTGATAAGAACAGCATGATTTGCTCTTCCACTGGAGCAGTGATATTGTATGATCCCACCAAGATAATCCTGCCAGCTAACTGCATCTACTGTCACCGCCAAAGGGCCCCAGTTAACGAGCATCCTCATCATTTCTTCTTCTTGACCGCTGTGAAAGGAGTGAGTGAGAATGGCAGGTTACTTCAGTTAGGACACCAAAGCAATCTGAGGTGGCAATCTACTTCTTAAGTACAATTTAAAAATCAAATAATTAAACTGTTTCCTCTGAGTTCTATACACCACATCACATACATCAATAATTAAGTATTTCATATACTACAACACAGTAATAAAAATATACAAAGACATGATGCTATTAAGAAGAAGCAGGTTTCTGGGTCAACTCAGGGGGCAATGGTGAGCACTATGTACCTTTTATACATTGCTCTGCTCTCCTAAAACCAGCTCTGGACAAACCATTAGCCTGTATTATTATTTCCCATTTTTCAAACATAGAGGAGTACCTCTTACATCATACACAATGATACACTAAAATACACATTTCAAACATACCAGAACACAGGACATTACCGCCATCAGACATTTACCATTAGCATCCTCATATAGTTTTACTTATGTGATGCACTGAAACAGGAAATCTTTATCACTGCATGGTATGTGCAATAACTGAATGGCAAACGCAGACTGGCAAAGCTGTAATTGTTTAGTTACTTATCTGGCAGTAATTTAATTCCTAATCAGAATTATATTTCTTAAGTTCAGTACGCAGCTGTGCTGTACTGAAAAAAAATTAGAAACTTTCTTGGTACAGAAACCTAAAAAGCTACCAGTTGTCTTTACAAAATTCAGTTGACAGCACTGTTTGTAAAGCCATGGACTGGACGAAGATGCAGGTGGGTATGTAAATAGATGAATACCAAAGTAACTGAATACTTCCTAATTTTTTCAACAAATTCCAATTACTATTGGTAGGATTTACCGTTTCTGGTACTTAGGCAGTATAACATTTGCTTAGCATGTATTAAAAATTGTAACTGACTCAATGTTCCAGTTTAAACAGAGCCAATTTAACAGACCTAATTTCAGGACACAGACTTGAGCTTTCTAATTTGAACAGGCGTAGAAATGGCAGGGTTGAATGGATTCATTGTGGCAAGTTTTACCTCTCAAAAACTTTATGTATTAGTTCTTATCCAGTACACAGCTACAGAACTGATGCAATCAACCTCATAACCTTTGGCTGGTCAATGCACTATTGGCTTTAGCTCACTCCACAGTTACTGAACACAGAAGGAAAAGTACAGCAAATAAAAAGAATCAATAGCAGCTACCTGAAGTCATATGCAGCAAATCCTGTTATTGAAACTCCAAAATCTGAGTGACCAAAATAATGGCATAGTCCTGTTTGAGCTTTAAAAGTATATTCAGAATCTCTCACGAGTTTTACTTTAGTCTGCAAGATAAATGAATGAGAATTTAATGCATTTGACTTTAACACTATGCAGCTCAAAACACACTGAAAACGATCACAGAACTCACTCAGAATTCAGTGTGTTCTTGGTGAGATTAGAAATAAGGATGGCATGTTGGGAAATAAGGTATTGACTACCTCTAGTTTCCTTGTTTGTGGAGAAACCGTCAGAAGCCTTTAAATAATGAATGAAATTTAAGATGTATCTCTGGTTTAAACTAGCCTCATGAGCAGTCTCATCAATTTCAAGACACAGAGACTATGCATTCACTTAATGAATGGCTATTCATTCTCTTCAAACGACATTCACACACACAAAATGATCCTCTCCTTAGGACAGTTGAAGAACCACAAATATCCCAAGAACAGTTATATAAAATACTGAAATTAAGTCAAATTATGCCATTAGCATCAAGTTCTCATGCTAATTATTATATACTATATTATTATATATTATCATTGCTGCCACACAGTTCAAAGTCCAGCTACAAAGCTATTGCATCAGCCTTTTATACTTTTCTTATCTTCTGCAGTACAATATGTCTACGACAGTGTCTTCTCCAGTCTAATTCAGGTGTAGTCCCCTCTGTTGCCGAACAAGAGGGAATTTTGCTTCAGAGGAATCCAGATGAATATCCTCTGCTCTTCTCCAAATGCAAACTTTAACAAGTTATCTAGACTGTTATTAGCTGAGGTTACATGAATCTTCAGGGCTAGAATTACAGAGTTTCTTAAAAAGGACAATCAGGTTTTTAAAACTTAAAAAAACTAAGGGATTCTTCTTACATTCTTATAAATCAAACTGTTGTCTAAGAATACTTTTTATTTCCAAGATATTAAAATGTTTCTGCTTACATATATTATTAACAAACATTTCGTATTTTTCATGAATTAAATGTGTTAGTTATGCTAAAGTAGAAACTATCTCTGCATTTTCATTGTTTTGGGTTGCAAGTGAAACAAAGGTAAATGCAGCTAATTTTATTCTGAGGTTCTCCACACTCATCCATGATTTTACAGTGTTTGCAACAGAAACCATAGAAATTTGAAAGTAGAAAATCCCAACATTCCTCCTTTTCCCCAGATGCTGGTGATTAAAACTGGACGCTCAAGTCCACAGAATGACACGTGGATAAACAGCTCCTCCTACACTGGTACTGTATGTCTACAATTCCAGTTGAGTTTAGTGGAAATACTACAGCTTTCAAGGAACATTATTTTCAACCTCTGTGGGTTGACTTGTTACATTCACAAGAACATAGACAGACCATAAAATTCCAATCAAGTTTTAATTCTGCTTGAACCAACTCTCTCGATTCCAGTCTAAATAAATATACATAGATATATACGCCCACACACATAAAAAAAAGATCACATGAGCTGTACACTGTTAATATGAAAGCTAAGGAAGCGTTTGAGATTTATGAAAAGTTTCAAACCTGGTTCAGCCAGCTCAAAGCACTAACAGTGGATCCCCCATTGCAGCCGTAATTATTGTATGAACAGTCAATAACCTGCTGCACGCTGAGTTCTTCCAGGTTATTTCCTTTAATTGCATAGGCAGACTCTATACCACCCACAACGCTGAAAGCCCAGCAGCCTCCACACTGGTACAAAGAGAAGGGAAATGGGAGGAAGACAAAGTCAGCTTTGTTTTTGAAGCCTGATATGAATATTAAAAAAAAAAAAAAAAAAAAAAAAAGGCAGAAGGGTCTTCTAAAGCTCTTCCTTTCCTACATGATCCTTGAACTTCGTTTTTAAGGCAATAACAAATAAATTTAATCAGCCATTTAAAATATTGAGCTGTTTTTTTTCCCCTGTACTGCACTCTGAAAGCTAGAAATGCATTATGGTTATCTTATTTTAAGGATTCCTTCCTGATTGCTTTTTGCCCTTTAAGATAGGTCTGAGGATGTTTTTTACTGTGAGGTATCTATTTTCTTAAACAAGTATTGAGGCTCAGGATGAAATTGTTTTTTAACCATATTAGTGAGTTTTTAAAAAGGATGCACTCTAGCAGACAGTCTACCACTTTCTAGAGTCTGAAGAATTTTATAGAAATATATTAATTACAGTTTAAGAAACAGTAAACTGAGGTTAAAAGTAACAGAAAAATTCTTAGTAACAGAATCTATACTGCAGTTCTAGGCTCTTTAAACTGTGCCATTTAAAATAAGAAGCAGAATTTATCCCTAGGCAAGATCCAGGTTATACTATGTGAAGCACAGAAAGGAAAGACATTGGGGATTTAACAGCTTGTTTGTTTCCTACCAGTGACCATAACCACTTTGGGACACACTGTAATCATGTGGGTCTGGTTATCTTCCTATCATGAATGCATCCTCTGATGTGTTCACTGGCAAAGATATGGGTGTTGACTACCCAAGGACATTCAATCATGAAAGAAAACAACAGTGAAGGATCTATATCCGTCCAGGTGAACTGGGCAGATAAGTTCTGGTACTGAACTTAGATCAGTCTCTTCAGAAAAATACACACAGTGCAAAATATTTGCAGGTTTAGTTAGCTAGATCAAAAAACTACACACGGTTTATAATTGCACGGTTTCTGAATTAACAACTTTTACATCTCATGCTTTTAAGTCTAATCCCAATTTGCAGAAAATGCTACGTGACTTTGCACGTGTTCAGCCAGTCATACTTGTGCCAGAGCTCCAAGGAGTCTTGAGGCAGTGCTGGTCCCTTCCCAAACCTTCACTGTGCTCTGCGACGTACCTGCTGGAACTGTCTCTGAGCAGGGCTTGAGAACCAGGAAAGGAAAACACCAGGACTTACTGTTTGCTGATTTCTCACTTCTGCAATTACTTTCTTGTCCCTCCAGTCAAACTTCTTCGGCAAAGGTTTCTCCTTTCCCTTTGGCACTTTTATGTATCTGGGAAGTTTGTGAGGTATGCTTCTTAAGTAAATAGCTAAACACAGAATACAAATATCTATAAATCTACTAACTAAAAAAGCCCCACAAACAACTGTTTTACTAGAAACCATAGAGGTAACTTTGATCTGTAGTTACAATCATGAGATTGCACCTCATTCTCAAATCCATAGGAAACTGATGTATTTTAAAATCATCATTATTCTTCAGAATGAATGCAAACATTCATACAGTTCCAGAAAGAACAGAAACATTCCATGTAGAGAATGTGGCTACAAAGCATGAAGATTTACTAAAGCTGCTCAATAATCACTCCATATAACAAGTTTTGTTTGAAAATTTTCACAACATTTTACTTACTGAGAAAATATTACTTTTAATCAGGTAAAAGGGGGAAAATACGAGGAGAATAATATAAAGATTCTGAAACACTACAAATTGCTAGTTTTTCACTAAAAAAAGCTGCTTGATTATTCAAACATAAAAAGGGTGTGAAATCCCCTAATGAGTAGAACATATAACAGTAGACTTGAACGGCAAGAAGGGAAAGTTAGGTTAGGTATCAGACAGATTTTCTTAGTAAAAAAATAAATTAAGCATGTCATACTGCTCCTGAAAGTCATAGCTATCATTGTACAGCCAAGGACCTCCAAGCACTGCTTGGATTATAATAAATTTTGTCTTGGGGTAGGGAATAGGAATTTAGAGTAATCAAGAACCTCGTGTATTTTCCAGTTTTAAAACTGTTGCGACTGAAGAAGGCTTTAAGGCCCAGTGAGAGCAAAGGAGGAAAGAAAGAGAAGCAAAGGAGGAAAGAAAGAGAAGCAAAGGAGGAAAGAAAGAGAAGCAAAGGACGAAAGAAAGAGAAGCAAAGGACGAAAGAAAGAGAAGCAAAGGAGGAAAGAAAGAGAAGCAAAGGAGGAAAGAAAGAGAAGCAAAGGAGGAAAGAAAGAGAAGCAAAGGAGGAAAGAAAGAGAAGCAAAGGAGGAAAGAAAGAGAAGCAAAGGAGGAAAGAAAGAGAAGCAAAGGAGGAAAGAAAGAGAAGCAAAGGAGGAAAGAAAGAGAAGCAAAGGAGGAAAGAAAGAGAAGCAAAGGAGGAAAGAAAGAGAAGCAAAGGAGGAAAGAAAGAGAAGCAAAGGAGGAAAGAAAGAGAAGCAAAGGACGAAAGAAAGAGAAGCAAAGGACGAAAGAAAGAGAAGCAAAGGACGAAAGAAAGAGAAGCAAAGGACGAAAGAAAGAGAAGCAAAGGAGGAAAGAAAGAGAAGCAAAGGAGGAAAGAAAGAGAAGCAAAGGAGGAAAGAAAGAGAAGCAAAGGAGGAAAGAAAGAGAAGCAAAGGAGGAAAGAAAGAGAAGCAAAGGAGGAAAGAAAGAGAAGCAAAGGAGGAAAGAAAGAGAAGCAAAGGACGAAAGAAAGAGAAGCAAAGGACGAAAGAAAGAGAAGCAAAGGACGAAAGAAAGAGAAGCAAAGGACGAAAGAAAGAGAAGCAAAGGACGAAAGAAAGAGAAGCAAAGGACGAAAGAAAGAGAAGCAAAGGACGAAAGAAAGAGAAGCAAAGGACGAAAGAAAGAGAAGCAAAGGACGAAAGAAAGAGAAGCAAAGGACGAAAGAAAGAGAAGCAAAGGAGGAAAGAAAGAGAAGCAAAGGAGGAAAGAAAGAGAAGCAAAGGAGGAAAGAAAGAGAAGCAAAGGAGGAAAGAAAGAGAAGCAAAGGAGGAAAGAAAGAGAAGCAAAGGAGGAAAGAAAGAGAAGCAAAGGACGAAAGAAAGAGAAGCAAAGGACGAAAGAAAGAGAAGCAAAGGACGAAAGAAAGAGAAGCAAAGGACGAAAGAAAGAGAAGCAAAGGACGAAAGAAAGAGAAGCAAAGGACGAAAGAAAGAGAAGCAAAGGACGAAAGAAAGAGAAGCAAAGGACGAAAGAAAGAGAAGCAAAGGACGAAAGAAAGAGAAGCAAAGGACGAAAGAAAGAGAAGCAAAGGACGAAAGAAAGAGAAGCAAAGGACGAAAGAAAGAGAAGCAAAGGACGAAAGAAAGAGAAGCAAAGGAGGAAAGAAAGAGAAGCAAAGGACGAAAGAAAGAGAAGCAAAGGACGAAAGAAAGAGAAGCAAAGGAGGAAAGAAAGAGAAGCAAAGGAGGAAAGAAAGAGAAGCAAAGGAGGAAAGAAAGAGAAGCAAAGGAGGAAAGAAAGAGAAGCAAAGGAGGAAAGAAAGAGAAGCAAAGGAGGAAAGAAAGAGAAGCAAAGGAGGAAAGAAAGAGAAGCAAAGGACGAAAGAAAGAGAAGCAAAGGACGAAAGAAAGAGAAGCAAAGGACGAAAGAAAGAGAAGCAAAGGACGAAAGAGAAGTCTGTATACTAAATTATATTCAGGGTCTAGGCTATTCAACCTTGCAAGACTAGAGAAACATGAAGAAGATTGTTGTGTCCTTCAGAAGTACTTACAGTTTGTTACCAGACATTGTAAACTAGCTGACTATCAGCACTGGAAGAATCTGTAAATATCAAAGACACAAGATTCTAGGAAAGAATAAGAAAAATAACAGCAAAGGCATTAGCAGCAGCCAGCAAATGTACCTTTGAACTCTTCAGGAAACAGGTGAGAAAACTGATTTATTCCATAGAAAGCAGTTGTATTATCTTTTGATGGTGAATTCAGTAATCTAATTCTTTTAGCACTTTCCTGAAGGAAAAAAGAAAATATATTGTGGACATTATTGAGTTAGCAGTAGTGCCAAAATCACAAGAGCAGAAAGTTAGCAACAGTGAGCATGAACTTAGGTAACACGACAACTGTTCACCTCAGATTCATTGTGGATTCCCAGCAAACCAGTATGAAAGCCATTAGACTAACTTCAGCTCCAAGAAAGATATTGAAAAAGCATTTGTTATGTGCTTAGAGGGTAAGAAATGATAGGAGACAGACAAAACAGGCAGGCTGAGAACACACTGTGCCAATCTCATCTGATGCCCTTCTTTGACAGCACAACAAACCTTGTGGTTCACAGATAAGTAAAAGTGTCTTCAGATAAGAGTTAACCTCATCTCGCTTTACGTCCTTATAAAGCAAAAGAACAGTATAATGGCCTAAAAGATACTAAGAAAACCTAACTTTAAATTATCGGGAATCCTAGATCTCTGAAAAACATGGTTTTGACCTACAAAAGCCAGACAATCTGACACCCCGCCCCCCAACTTCTGCTGCTGACAGAGTTCGACGTGAAGAATAAAAAAAAACCTCAACTCCACCTCCCGCGCTTCCTGCGAACACTCCCCGGCACCCCCGGCCCGGCCCGGCCCGGGGAGGGGGGGCACTGCCGCGGCCAGGGGGCCGCCCCGTCTCCCCGGGAAGCGGCTCCGGCAGCCGCACACGGGGCCGGGAGGGGCGGGAAGGCCGAACCCCGCGCTGGGCACCGGCCCCGGCCCCGGCCCGAGGCTGACACCTGGCGCCAGGCGCGGGGAAGGGGAGGGAAGCCGCGGCCCCCGACCGCGGCAACCTGAGGGAAAGCCGAGCGGGCAGGGCCGAGGAAAACGGAACGGCAAAGGATGCCGGAGGCGCGTTTCGGTGCTCCGGGCTGAAGTGCTCTGCCGCGCCGCCTTCCCCCACCTCTCACCCGGCCAGCGGCGGCCGAGCCGCGCCCCGCCACCTCCCCTCCTCCCACGGCGGCAGCGGGGCCCGGTGCGGACGCGAGTGTAAGTGCGGGCGGGGGCGCTTACCCGGAGGGCCGCCGCCTCTTCTTTCTCTTGGCCGCCCGCGTCCCACGGAGGGCGGCCCGCACCGCCGCCCCTCTCCCCAGGCCGGGTGCCCGCGGGCGCCGGGAGGGCGGCGCTGCCCGCCCGCAGCAGCCCGCAGAGAACTGCCAGCGCCAGCAGCCCCATCGCCCGGCCGCGCCGCGCCGCGGGGCCGCTTCCCCGCCGGGTCCCCGGCCGCCGCCCCTCCCCTCGCCGCCATGTCATGGCGGGGTGGGGCCTGGGGGGGCGCACGCCCACGCCGCGTGGGCTGTGTTGGTGTGGAAGAGCGGGGGCTGTTTTCGTGGGGAAAAGCGGGTGCTCAAACCTCCTTTGCCTCCCGCCTCTGCCTGGCGGCTGCCCCCCCCCCCCCCCGCTTCCTGCTACAGCGGGTCTGGGGGCAGGGCGGCCCGGGGCCCGGCTCCCCCCGGGGCCAGGCGGGGCGTGAAATGGTGGCCGCCCGGGCCTCGGCGGGCTGGCGGCGGCGGCGGGGCCGGGGCCGCGGCTGCCTCCGCCTCCGGGTGTCCCGCCGCCGTTTTTGCTGCGCTTCGCGGTGCCCGGCAGCGCCAAAAAAAAGCCCACGTTCGAGGCGGTGTGTTTCAGCGTGGGAGGTGCGCCGCCGGGCTGCGAACGAAGAGGTGCTGAGCGTTCAGTTAAGGGGCGAGGTTAAAAGTTAATGCCGGGCCTTCACTGAGAGGAAAGTTAGTTGGTGCCCGCAAACGGGGCTGCGAGTAGGAAAGAGAAGGTGCGGTTGCTTCCTTGGGGCAGCAGAAACACACTTGATGGGGTTTAGTATGGGAAGGAGTTGGTGGGGAGAGAAGAGACATCATGAGCTGCACAGCCAGGGTCCAGGGTGGTTAAGTTATTCTGAAAGAAAATATCTGAAGCAAACCTCTGTGTGCTTATCGTAGCTCCATTTCCTTAGAGACTAGTTGTGCTGATACTGGAGCAAGCAGGTTAGCGTTTGGCATCTAAAACTTTCCATTATGCAAGTATGAGTTAACAGTCTTTTTTGTTAATAGCCATACTCAGATGTTTTTACACACTCATTGTTTGTAAATAGAATATTTCTATGTTTAAACTTTATGTTTCAGTTGTGTCTGTTGCTCTTTCCCTCACCAGCTTGTTACCACAGTGTGAAAGCACAACTGTCCTGTCCCATGGCACCAGTAGCAAACCTTGCAGTCTTGTGTTTGGGAAACATGAGGCTTTCATCATGCTGAAATTTTTAAGTTAAAGGATGCGAAGTTTTGCTGCTGTCACTGGGTTGTGTAACAGCAAACTGTGTTGAAGTGTGTGCTTCCTGAAGGGTGAGGTGCAAAACTGTGACAGTGCATGGGGGTTTTTTTGCCTTTTTTTTTTTTTTTTTTTGTGGCATGCAGCATTTTACCTGCTAATATGAATTTGAAGGAGAAATTATACTGTATGAAACGCAAGAGATCGTATATTGCTAATTTCTAGATCGGTAGGTATATGCAGAGCTGGCAAGTAAAGGACAAAGGATTAAACTAACAGCTGAGGTGGGTAGAGGGTGGGTCAGGGTCTCCCACTGGTGGGCTCTGACTCTGTGAGCTGTGCCTCTGTGTGCCCTGTCACCCCAGTTCAAATGCCTGGGCTTGCTGACTTCTGAGAACCAACCAGCTTTTTGTAGAGGTGGTGTTCCTCTCTGGGATTGTAGCTCCAGTTTGGGAGGGACAGGGAAGGAACAGGTAGCTTCAGCAATTTGAGTGCTTGACTGATGTCTGACATCTCCCCAGTGGGGACTGGACAAAGATTTAAATAACTTTTATCAGCAGCACTACAGAGTCCTCTGTGTTACATGTAAGCATTTAAACTTACACCCCCCTTCACATAAAATGGCCTTTCGCTCTTTTCTGTGACTAGAATGGCAAAAGTATTTTGATGTTGGCAGTGCTTGTGCTGCATTTTCTAGTTTTGTTAAAATGAGCACCTAAACAGCAGTGGCAAAAAGATTTTCTGGAGTGAGACTACAATCCCAGAGTTGTTATGTCAGGGTAAGAGAGAACAAAAATCAGTACTTCAGTAATGAGATGACAACATTCCCCTCCTGTCCACCCCACTGATGAAGGAGCACTTGTGTTTATTTGCAGAACATTTGTCATGTAGGTAGTTTTTCTTACTGGTGGAAGGAAAAACTAATTATTCTGCTTTCTAGCCTGGAGTTCTACATTTTTCTGTAGAAAAGAGAGAAATTTAACATGCTGCCATTACTGAGAAGTTGAGGCAGGTTAAAGGCATGGTGGTATCTAGATTAATGATAAAAGTCGTGGCTGTTCAGGAACAGCCTGGTAGTATAAATAAAAGTTTATGATCTGATCTCACCAAATAGTTAATGTCCAGGGTTGGACAAACCTGTGGGGATCATGTTCCAGCTCTGCTTTTGCCTTCCCCATCCCCTGGAATGTCTGTCAGGGGATTGGATGAACTGTCACTAGGTTTGATGCAGGAGGGCTATTTATGGTTTATAGCCAGAGTATGAAAGAGCTTGTTAACAGAGCAGATTTTAGTGGTTATTCTCATGTATTTTAGTATTGTAAACCCAGAATTGGCGTAAGAGATGTTATTACAACTTATTACAAACTTGTATTGACATAATGAGGTCTGGGATCAGCATAGAGACTGGATAGGATAAAGACAGTAATGAGAAATGAACAGTGAAACCTTTTTAAGGACAGTCTGACCCTCAGCAGCCAAATTCTGAGTGCAAAAACCATCAAACCATGACTCGGGGAAAAAGTGTATGTCAGGGCAAGACCATCAGGAGGAGTGCAGGGCAGTGGCTGGTGGGAGTGTCGAAGAAAAGCTTGACACGGGAACCGTAGCTTTGGATGTACAGATTGTGAGGGTAATGGAAGCCTTAATGCAACAGTTGCATGATTTTATTCTGCACTGTATAGTGTAATGGGACAGGAAAGAAGTTGCTTTGCCAGGCAGTGTAAGCAGCAGAAAGATGCTGAAATTAGCTTTAATAAAAAGTAAGTTTTGAAATAAAGCATTTCAGATTTGCCACCAGGCTAACATCATCAACTTTCAATGTTGTTCAGCTTTTTTTAGCCTTGCTAGCTTTGAAATCTATTGCTTGGAAATGATGATTATCTCAAACCGCATACATTTTCATATTTTTAATATATAATTGTTCAATTCTAAACTAGTCAACTTACCTTTACTAGAAGAAAGAGATAAACTTGTAGTTATTTTTTCGGTTATTTATTCCATGTACTATGCTTTTTTCATAACAGAAGAAGCTGTTGTCTTGCTCAGAGAAGCTATTTTATTTTGTATGTAGACTTCAAGAGTTACTTTTGCTGTGAAGCACATGAGGGCAGCAAAGGACTTCTGGAAAGGTAGTTGCCACCAATGCAGTTTAAATATTTTTTTTATTAAAATAAATAAACCCCAAATAAACAAACAAACAAACAGCCCAAAAATGTTCTGCTCTTCTGGGAAAATAGATATATCCCAGATTGATCTGCATTAAAAATTCTGTACACCATAGAGAGAGGAAAAAGTGTGTTTCTCCTGGATTTGTCCTCTTGTGTGCACTAAGTAAATGTGTCAATTTATCTTGTTCTAGAGGAGAGAGTGTTAGAAAAGTCAGTGTCTCCTCTGGTGACTGGCTTGGGGAGAAGAGAAATGTAACAAACAGCAAAAGGTAGGTGACTGATAGCCAGAGTGTTTCAGAATGCTTTATTTTTCCACTAAACTGTCGTGCTATTAAAGCATTTTATACTTGTGCTTGGATGAACAAAATCCCACCAAAGTACATAGAGACAGCTCTGTCTACAGGCAGGCAGTCCCTGCTCTGTTTTGAATTACACCAGTGTAAATCTGGCTTCGCGTCATTAAGATAAAAGAAAATACACTTGTAAAAATAATATCAGAATCAGGCCTATAAAAAGGGATAGAGTATAAAGTTTGTGGTGTTTGGGTTGTTTGGTTTTTTGTTGTTTTTTTTATAAGATTTTATTGAGATAAATTCTTATTCCTTCATTGACACAGGTAAGCAATATATTAGTTACACAGGTCACCTCAGACAGGTGATTAAAATCTTTTTATGCATGTATGTGCCTTTTTTGTTGAAAGATTTTTTTTCCAGAAACTCCAATTTAGAGTTTTATAATTGCAAATGCTTATTTTAAATATGTTTTAATGGCATTTTACATATCTCCTTACTGTTCTGGCTGTTCATCAGAAGTATATCATGAGCCCAAACAATGAATACTAAAGGAAGAAGCAATAATGAATATATATTTAAGAACCTGTACACTCATTGTAAGATATTTTCTTTAAAAGAAAATACTCCTTTCTTAAGAGAATTTTTTTTTCTCATCAGGTGCAAAACACCCATTTTTAAAATTACTTGTAACTCATAAGAGTGTAATTAGTGGGTAGATTTTTGTAGGATTACAGGTTCAGAGTGAGAGAGCATATCAATATTTAGTAGACTGGCTTTTTTTTTTGTTTGTTTTCACAGTCATTTTTGCATAGGTGTTTGAAATTGTTAATTGAGTCTTGTTAGACAGCCTAGATTCAGTGCACTTTGGCCTCTATGTTTATAATTATCATAGCAAACAAGGGCGAAATACAATAAATCACTTCTGAGTTGGAGGTGGGTCTTCCAAGGATGGGTACTGCTGCTGCTAAGGGCAGTAACAAGATGTGTTACTGTGGGGAAGAGGGATGCATTTCACTTTGAGAGGTATCTACATAGCGGCAGTTTGGACTTTTGCAGCCATATAAGGTGCTTAACAAATGGAAGATGAATCCCTTTGTATTGTGCAGTCCTCAGTCTCAGAGAGAAATAATCTAAATCTGTCAGCAGATGGAGCTGAGTGCCTTTTCTTAAAAAGACTCGTTGGGAAAAATTATTTCAAGTCAAAGGGTTTGTTCATTTTAAGACCTTGCAGAGATGTTGTTTGCTACTAGTTAGATATAGTTGCACTGGTAACAGATACTAAATGTAAGCAAAGCAAGTGAGAGTTTTGGGATGAAATCTGGTTCTGTTTAAGCCAGTGCAAGGGTAAATTTGCAGTGTTGCTGTAGCTAACATTCAGAAGTTGTCTTTTCAGAGCCCCAAGGTAGATTTTGAAGTTTGTGAGAAGCAGAGAAAATTACACATCGTAGTAGTTGGGTTTGCAGGAATAACCAAGCTGTGCAAAGAGTTGACTTAGCTAGATTGTGATAAATACCTGTGTTGACCATGAAATCTCTCCTGGTAGAGCTATCTTCCGTTGCAAATAATGAAATAACTGTAGGACCTGCTTCTCAAACC